TAGGTCCGCAGACATACCGCTATGCCACTGGGTGGCTCTTTGTACTCAGTTGATGCTTGACGTAGGTTGCTAAGCCTTTTAAAATTTCGCACGTGGAGGATATGAAACGAAATAAATTTTTTTAGGTTTTATGTGTACGGATGAATAACCAAAAAATCATAAATTACTCTGTCGATATAATAGGATTCCACTATTATTTATCAAACTTAGTAACTAAGCTGTATTTCAGCCAGGTAGTTAGGATGCTCGACTCCCAATCTGAGGGTCGCGGGTTCGAATTCCCGTCCCACCAAACATGCTCCCCTTTCAGCCGTGAGGGCATTAGAATATGACGGTCAATCCTTCTATTTGTTGGTAAAAGAGTATCCATAGAGTAGGTAATGGGTGGTGATGGCAAGCTTCTTAACCTCTAGTATTACAATGTTAAATTAGGAATGGTAAGTGCAGATAGCTCTCGTATAGCTTTGCGCGAAATTCCAAACAAAGTTGTATGGCACAGATAGCCCATTATGTAGTTTGTGCTTAACTGCAAATAATAAACAAATAAGAATATATATATAAAGAGAGAGAGCAAGAGAGAGTACTGTATAACAATGTTTTTTATAGCTTACTTACTTAGTTGATTTTGATTTTTTACCATCTAGTTATACATTATATACATCTTAAGTGTATATAGTGGTAAAATTTGCTCTTTCATCACTTAGAAAACTAAGAGAAAGAATATTTTACAAGATATTGTTACTATCAATCTTGTCAATCAGAATGGGACACTTTACTGAAAGGCTTCCTAGTGGCACAGCGGTATGTATTCGATTTACAACTCTAGAAACCTGGTTTCGATACGCATGGTTGGCAGAGCACTGATAGCCCATTGTGTAGCTTTGTGCTTAACTTCAAACAAACTTTTCTGAAAGATAAGTTATCTCAAGCACAGTTGAAAACTCACAGGTAGGCCAATTTAGAATAAACTCTGTAAACCAAAATGAAATTATTTGATTTCATTATTATACTTTGTGATCCAGCCATAGCTTTTGAAATATTTTAAAGAAAAATCAGCAATTTTCTTTTGGGTTGTAGTGGTTTGACATTACAATGACAAATGCAACAGATCATGGACCACTAATAATAACTAGATCAAAAATGTATAACATCCTCTAACATTAAATTAGCCTCATATGACTTTGCTTTAAAAAAATTAATGAAACATAGTCTTTCTAAGTTGTTGTGATATACAGGCACGTCACATTTTTTCTACTTGTTTTAATGATATAGAGATTTTCAAAAAATAAATGCATCAGCCGGACAATGCTATGACGGAACAAAGATCACGAGGTGACGTTGTCGACTGAAAAAATAAAGCGAGTTTAAATGCTGAATTTAGACACACTTTCTTTGACCAGTTTCTATCAGGATATTAGCAAGTAAATAATTCTTTCAAGAACAATGTGTTTTAGTTTTTTAGTGATCAAACTTATATGAGAGGAAACTGTGAAGCTAAATACAGCCTAGTAGAAAGGGATGCCATTTCGTCAACAGAAGTACGCACACCATGTTTTATGTTTATTTGTTATAAAAAAATATTTTGTCCATTTATTCACATTTATCCACACTCTTTTTATTAACTTTAAGAAACGCAGTAAAGTTATCTATCACAGAACACTCCTCTTATTTTTTGATTGAATCTGCTGTTATTTGCGGGTTTGTCTTTCTGATACGTGTCGGGGAAATCGGTCACCTGAAAATACCACATTGTTATTTGTTCATGACTTTAAATATTTAGTAATGCACTCATACGAAAACAACTTCAACACAAATAAAAGCAGAAAAATTAATGTTTAATGTTATATCACTCAGAGATATTACGGAGTGAAAGTTTATGAATGGAAGGTAAAAAGAATAACCCATTTCCAGATTCAATAACGCCATCCAGATCGTTGGCACAGCTTAGAATCTTTTATTTATTTTGTCTCTGTCTCTTTCACGGAATGTGCTCGATAGAGGGCTCTCCAACATCTTTGTTGATAGCGGAAGCTAGAGGTTTTACTTTTACATGAATATGGCGTCAAGGTAGATTTGTCCAATCGTAAGACAAAATTGGTAAGCGATTCGTCTGTGTTCATAACATCAAGATCTTCTTGCTAATGTTTTTTTCATGTGTTACCCAGTTGTACGACTAAACAGGTGAATACATATTTGTTGTTCTTGATGTTGGTTATAGTTTTTTATTAAATGTTTAATAAAATTAAGCCAGTAGGTAGACTAAGTAAAGTTATCGTTATTAATATAATAATATTGTAAAATAATTACACACTCACGAGTCACAGTACTACAGTAGTAGCAGTGGTACTAGTTAAACATTAGTAATACTAGTACTAATACTTTACTGTTTTGCATCTTACTCGTTGGACAAAGATGAAGCTTTTGAAGACCAGAACTTGGATATACGAAGTGACAGAGATGTCGTTGGGAACCGGTATCAAAGAGATATCAGTATCACTTTATTTTAACTGCAACTTACAATTAGGACCTGTACGAGTACTAGTCCTAATTACCATTCAATTCATTTGTAATTGAATAATGTTAATTAGTAGTCAATCTATTTCAAATAAACCCGTTTTAGAAAACTAAGATTAAATATTTTAAAATTACAGAAACTATATATATATATATATATATATATACCCAAATGTATGTGTATGTGTGTATATATTAAGCATAACACAAAACGAAATAAAGCGTATAGCATCTTCAACCAATAAGACAAAAGATACAAAGTTGCATAAGGCCGTTTTGAATGTAGAACTGTCACAACAACAAAGGTGAACATTATTATTTATCAAATTCCAAGCTTTCTAGCACTCAACATAAAAGTCAACCCAGCATTAATAAATATAACAAGATAAAAAATTATGAACTAAGTTGCTTTTCAATTCACTACAGTCCATTTGTAGCTACCATTGATTTTTATTATGCATTACACTTTCATGTAATTTATTTAAAACTGCTGCCATGGTCAGTTAGTAACAGTTAAGGCTTGGTGTACGTAACAGATAAAAAAAAAGCACTGTAACTTAGTTCTTTTCTCTTTGCTCTAATTTTTCAACAAGAATGATTTATATCTTAAACACTGAAATGTCTTTGACATTGTTTACTTGTTTCTGTTTGATGCCTACTGTTGTAGATCATTTGTTTTTGCATTCTTGTACTTTCTGCTTACTTCTCAGAAGGTCCAATAGTGATTTGATATGCTTTCATATTTTTGTTGTGTGTTTGCATCTTCAGCAAAAAAAATAGTGATATAGTGGACCCTCCCCAATATAAATCAGAGATGTCAACTTCTAAGCTTACTGGTATGAATAACAGGGATGAAGTGTTTTTTGTTTGAGTGATACCTTCTACACTGAGTGTGGTTTTTGTTGTTGTTTGATATTATATTTGAAATCCGAAGAAAATGACAAAAAATGGCAATCTCTTTGTTGTTAAATCCTTTCATTACAGTGTATTCCTTTCCTTTTTTGAGTTAGGCAAGATGTGTAATGTAGGTAATTTGATGAATGGTACAGTTTAAAAATTATTTCATTACTTCAAATAGATCTACTGCTATAGTTAACAAATCTGAATATCATATCTACAGATAGAAGTAACTTTATTGAATTACCTTTCAGAGTTGAAAGATCTTATATGAATTATATTTAGACTGTCAAAAAAATAAAATAGTTTTGAAGAAAATAATTTGAATTTGGCTGCACAAATAACCAGATTTCGACAGAAGGTAATTTTCTTCAAATTGGCTCTTTATTTTAATTAATATAATTCAGAAGTCATAACCTATCAAGTCACTTAATTTTGCATGAGCGAGTGCATAATGACTGGGCTGGGGATGTATGGGGTAGCTTGTGCAAAATGATACAGTATGATTCATCTTAGAGGCTCACTTCCTAATGTTACTTAAGTTGTCTCGCATATTAGAATGAAAAGCGAAAATCCATATTGAATCAAACCTGAATAATCACAGAATGAATGTATGTTAATTTCAAATGCATATAAAGTTACAAATGTGTTATAAAACAGAAAGCTGATTCTTAGAAACAAAAAAAAACTTGAAATTTCTCAAGAAAATATTATTTTCTGGTACACATACATGTAGCCCTCTTTTCTTATTTTTTAATTGTTCCATATGTACTAATTAACTATTTTACCTAAAATGTATCACTCTTATTAAAGTACCTCTTTAATTATGATCAACAACAGCAGTCATCCTACCTAATCCAACCTTAATGCTGGGATATTCTCTATTTCAAAGCTCTTTACAGAATTAAATATATTAAATAAACCTGTTATTCAAAACTGCTATTACTAAAGGGAGGGAAATGCAAATCTCTAAAAGGTGTTGCAATTTTCCCTGTGTAACATAATTCTTCAGTATTAGAATGATAGTCTTTTTCCTTTGTAAATTTGAGTGTTAGGTCTACTGCCAATCAAATAAATGTTTCGGGGTTTAGAACAGAAGTACACAACATATGGCCCGTGGGCCAAAATTGGTCTGCCAGCTCATTTTGTACAGCCCATAACAAAATTGTAGTGTGGGAAGTTTTTTTTTAATGTGATGGAAATATTTATGTTTGTTATTAAATTTAAGAGTTTCTGCATCACAATTGAATAGAAATTTTATTGAATAGTCTTTAGAATTAATAGAAAATGCAAATGGCTCAAAACTTTTCAGAGGAAGAAATATTATGGAAGTCTCAATCACATTCAAAATTGCCCATCGACAAGAAATTGAGTAGTGCACCCCTGCTCTAGAAACTACCAAAGCATCTGTCTCAGTTGCCTCATAGCTGGTTATAACAATGCAAGGAGAGCATCAGAACACTGGTGAAAAAACAGAACCTCTATAAATATTTCCATTTATATTTGAGGGAAAATATCCATAATTGTAGGATAGCAGTACGAACTGTGACTTGTGAAATATAATCTTTGAAATGAATAATATTGTAAACTAAGTGAAATGATCAAAACCAGAAGGCAGTAGATTAACTAGGTTTATTATGCAAATAGGATAAATAAAGAAGAGGATCGACAATGTAAGATGTTATTAGCAAAGATTAATATATTGTAAAGTTTCTTCTATTTATCTTCCACAGCACTTTTTAAATTTGACTCTTTTGAGCTATAAATATGCATTCCTGTAGGGTTGTAGTATTTAGTATGCATAGTAGAGCTGAATGATTAGTGTAATTTGATAATTAATTGTCAGGCTCATTAATTGATTACCTTCAACTGATCATTTTACACAGGACTTAAGTAGTTGGAATGATCAAAAATACTAATAATCGAAAACATTAATTTCAATTAATTGATTATTTTTGTTTGTCACAACATTAATTGATTAAGCTGAAGAATCTTGAATTAAATAATAACAATAATGAGAGATCATAATGGTAATATTTTAATTACTTCAATGGTTGTAATAATTGAAAACTAACAATCAGTTGTACTAATTTCAGTTGGTTGATTATTTTTGTGATAATAATCAATATGATTTTAATTTTGATTAATTAGTTATTTTACATGACACTAATGGATGTAATCTGTACTCATAGATAATCATTTGTATTAATGAATGGGGTAAATCACCCAGCTTTAAAATCAATGACATATTTGAAAGTTGATGTAGCAGTATATTATTAATCCAGGTAATATTTTTCTTTTGGATTCTTTGGCATCATTTATTAGACTGGTGAATGCAGTTTGTTTTTGTATTACTCAGTTAAGACCAGAAGTTATTCACCCTGCTCTATTATATATATCATGATCGTTATATGTTTGTATAACTGACTTTAGTGAATAGTTGTGAAAAGGTTTATTAATGTAATTCTTAATATTTATTTGTACAAAAAGTGTACTGGGATATTGGCTAACGAAACGAAAGTTAAGTGATTTGTAGCAGTTTTGTTTTTGTAAAAAACATAATTTATATAGTTTTATTTTCATTTATAAAACTATTTTTTTGAGTTCAGGGATCAAAAATATGGCCAAATATCAAATTGCTGGTTAGTGTTGCAGTTTTGCTAGTAAAACTTAGAAGACACTAGAAAAATTTGATAATACACATGTCAAATGAAAGATTTATAGATTCTAACTGTTTAAGTATCAATACATCCTTGTCAGTTATTTATATTGGAAAATTCTGAATGCAGAAAATTCCTATATTTATGATTAACAAGAATATTTCACTTGCTTCTTTTGTAATCCCTGTTTAAGCTACATGAAACCCAGGCTAATTAGCAGAAAATAATGATAGTAAGACTGCAATTTTATCTAATTTGATTTGTTTCCAAGGTAATTAGCACATGGATTTACACCATCTGGCTTCTGTAGTGCAGTTTTACCAGTAGGGTGGTTAGAAATACTATGCCCAAGTGGCTGCTTGTTAAAGATAATAATGATATAGACATCAAATAAGCTGCACATGTGTTTTCCACATTACTTTTAATTTGTCCATGATTAGCACAAATGTTAGGCCTACTCACTTCTAATGCTTTGCCAGCTTTTGGTGTTTAAACATTGAATAAGAAATTATTGTTTTAGTATAGGGCGGCCATCAGCAGTGGGATATTGTAGACTTTGTTGATCTAGGTGCATGTGGTCCAAATACACCAGTTTGTGTCCAAATCAAGTGTCTCTTAACTTTTGTAAAATATTTAAAATAAAAACACTTGCATATGTTCTAAAGGAGTTGATATTTTATGCAGAAAATTTATACATTTAAATAGGACATTATATATATTTACTAACATTTAATGTATGAAATAATCAATTATGTTAATTTTAGATAATAATGGTGTTATCTAATAGCAGTCTCAAATTTGTTAATGGAAAAAAAAGAATACCTGCAGCCATTTGCTAGTGTCTTCAGAAGTTAAGATCAAGTTCTGCATTAGCATCATAATGAACAAACCAGTAATTACCATACATGTTTAAGAATATTAAGTTAAAAATATTGTATGAGAGTTTAAACAAAATACCACAAAATAAGTTTATTGTATTGAAAAACATCTTGTCTAATTTTTCAAGAGGGTTTTCTTGCTGAGAATAATTGTTTTCCAAAATGTCAAAATAATAAAAACCATACAAGAAAGTTTAGAGACCTTGTTATTTTACTGTAATAGTGTTTCATCGAACATCAGTTGTGATACATTTTGGAACTTGGCCCAGGATTTTTAACACAAGTTTCAGGTCACTTCATTTCAGAAAGATGTTTCCTTATGTCTACAACCCATCTGCTTTCAAAATAAATTTAAACAGGAGTGTTAATAATAGCCTAGTTGTTATTTGCATGCAACTAAATAAAGGTTTCACATTTTTTATTTCCTTAGCCCTTGGTTCCTCCATCTCTAAGCAAAGGGCTAGAGTTCTATGAAGCATTTATTTACCTTTTTTTTTCTCTTTAGTTTGTGGGACTTAAGTAGATTGACTCATAAGCTTTCATATTTCAGTACTGCACCTTAAGAAGTTGTCATACTAGTTTAAGCACAAAAAGTATGCTTTTCCTCCAATGCAATCAAGCCACAAACTTTACACAAATGCCCTTCTGTATAAAGTTTTTTATATTTTTAACCACTGTGTATAATTTTGTTTTTCCTGTAGCTTCACACTTAACAGTAACTATTAAATTTCAATTGTTATAGTTTAATTTCCATTTTACTCTTCTCTTTTTTTTTCTTTTGATACATTGGTATTCAAATTCCAATTTTTTATTTTTTTTGGATAATGTACATATAATAATCGTAAATCATTGCAAAGAAGAAACTCCAAACCATGATAGCTAAGAATAAGCTCTTCAAGTCATAGCAGTTCTTATCAACTTAGCCAGATAAACCATTAGAAACAAGTAACTCCAGTTGAACAACCTTTCAACATAAATATAAATGTTTGAGGTATCCCACACCCTCCAAATTTAGAATGGTTAAAATGGGATAGTAAAAATACATGATTTAAAAACAATGTTTTGCCACTGTTAACGTTGCATCATCAGATATTCAGCACAGTTGTACACGACTCTTAAGTACACCCAGTTGGTGACGTCAACCATATAACAATTGTGCTGAATACGTGATGATGCCACATTAACAGTGGCAAAATGTGTTTAAATGGTGCTTTTTTTTTATCTCATTTTAGCTGTTTTTGAATTTTAAACTCCAGTTGGAGCTTTATTTTATATAAAATATGAAGCTTTGGTTGGTTACTTTCCTTACATACATACATACAGTAAGTAGCCATTTGGTCCTTAAATGATGAATCCACCATCTACAACCCCAAAACAAAAAAAGTAAAAAAATTAAACCACCCCCTTTTTTTAGGAAATCATCAATTCCCTTTTTTCAACTATTGTAAGGTGCCAGTCTCCACTACTGTTGATGGCAGCTCTTAAAATATTGTAAGGCACCTGTCTCCACTACTGTTGATAGCAGCTTTTCTTCAACTATTAATGGAAACTGGCACCTTATAATAGTTGAAGAAGAACTGCCATCAACAGTAGTGGAGACTGGCACCTTACACTGTTGATGGCAGCTCTTCTTCAACTATTATAAGGTGCCAGTTTCCATTACTGTTGATGGCAGCTCTTCTTCAACTATTGTAAGGTGCCAGTCTCCACTACTGTTGATGGCAGCTCTTCTTCAAATATTGCAAGTTGCCAGTCTCCACTACTGTTGATGGCAGCTCATTCCATAGATTATTAAGGTTGGAAGTTTTCCACATTTTTTTCAAGTAGTTTATTTGTTAACAAGTTCACTCAGTTCTCCATTCTAGCTTAGAGATTACTTTAGTGTCTTCCCTTAATCCACGTTATTATGTGGAGTCCTACAAGATTTATACTTTTCTTAGTATTAGCTTATGAGACCTTCAGTAGGGAAATACATTTTCTAAGTTAATCACTTGAGTCTCTGTCTTCACATTTGTAGTTCTTGGTACTCATTCAAGCCTTCCACATTAACCCCATTCTTGAGTTCAGACAGCTCTTATTGGTTTCTAAATAGAGCGATGCATGAGTCAAGGAAAAGTAACATCCTTAATAATAGTTCCAGGGATAATGGAGCTCATAAAAGGGCAAAATGAGAAAAGATGGTTCTGTTTCTTCCCTCCCATCCAATTAACATCAAAATTGCATGTTTGTGTTTTTTACACAATGAAATATTTTTCAAACATTGTATTATTACAAATGCCATTTTTATCAGATGTGTATTACCAGTTATTTTGATGCATTTAAGTAAATATAATGTGAAAATAAACCAAGGCACATTTAAGCAAGTTTAGTTCCAATTCCAGCATATTTAAGCTATGTTAATGATTTATTATGAAACAAGTGTGTCATGACACAGTTGATTAATATTTGTGAAGATTGTTATACAGACTTGAAACTTTGCTTGGGAAAAGCTTATAAAAAGTATAGTTTTGTAAATGCAAGGATTTATAGAATGCAGTTACTGAAGCTATTAAAAAATAACTTTGTTAATATAAAATTTTAAAAAGCAATAGTAATTTTTTTCTCTAAGAACAGAAAGAATCAATTAATAATTAAATGTACTTTAAAAATCATAACTGTTACAAACATACTACCAAAAGATAGATGTGCAAGTGATATAGCATATGCTTAACCCAAGTTAATGAGAACAACAAGCACATATTTGGAGTTTTAAGTCAAATAGTGTCCTTTGGTTATACAAAATAGGTCACATAGGTATATATAATACATAAAGAATATAGGTCAGATTAGATCATAAAAGATAAAGCTGTGAGAAGTAGTAACCAATTTTGTATTTGAGAATAACATAACTTTGTTTCTTCTAACTTAAAACTTGCTTGATTTGAGTAACAGAAATAGCGTAAAGTTATTTTGGTAGATTACCATTATAGTTTACAGATATTTTTTTTACTAACTGATATGTTATTTTAAGAATGTATTGAAAACTTGTACAGTTGAATATCCATAATAGTTTTATTTGTAAGCTTTGAAATGTTTTATGTATAATTCTCTGCACTGTTTGCTACAGGTTTTAACTTGTTTCAATTTTATATTCTACCTTTGTTAATAAAAAAAAACAAGGCAATGTTTTCATGGTTTTTTTTTTTTATCATTAACTGCTGTACTCTAGCACAAAAAATATTCTTCACCTTCATAAAATGTACTTTAAAAAACTGCAAAAAATCTAATAGATGGTTTTGGAAAGAAAATTTAAGTATTTAGTATGAACGAACAGACATTTCAAATTAACAAGGTTAAAGTTATTATATTAAAGATTTATAATTTTTCACAAAAGTAGGGGTGTTACTATCGTGCGGTCTACCGCAGTATCCGTAGTCTACCAAGACCCACTGGACCCTATTACCCCTACCCTAGATGGATCATAGAAGACCCCACCTGACCTGTCTATTTAACTAAGTGTAAAAGTCTCAGTAACCGCACGCTATAGTTTAAAAGTCCCAGTAGACCGCACACTATAGTAGCACCAAAATAGGTTACTAGTTTTAATTGAATAATACAAAAATAAACAGATTTATCTGTTTTGTTAATTTACTTGTACAACTACTTGTATCATAAATCAAAATTGATTTTGTAGTAATATAAAATAATCCAAAAGGAAATTATTACCTGGATTAATAATTCATATATGTCAACTTACACAAATGTTACTGGTTTTAGAGATGGGTGATTAACTTGATTAATCAATATATTAAGTTCCATATGAGCATCACTTTCATTGATTAGTGTCATGTAAAATAATTCATTAAATAAATTGATTAATTCATTAAATTGATTAATGTTATGAGAATAAAGAACTAAACAAAATTGGCAATTTCAATTATTGCAGTTTTTGATTATTCCAGTTATTCAAGAAATTGAAATATTGCCAATATGATTTATCATTATTAATCAATTAATGTTTGATTCACAAAAATAATCAACCAATCAAAGTCAGTGTTTTCTATTATTACTATTTTTGATTAACCATCCAAGAAATAGAAATGTTAGCTATTACTACTTCCTTTCCTCATAATTTGCAGGTGACAGTATATGTGCATTCTGCTTGTACGTAACTCCGGAATGTTAGAGTTTGGCCTAGTGGTTGTTGGTTACCTAACTAGCTACAATGATGCATGCTGTTGATGTTATCCTGTATGTGCAAGTATTAACTTAGTAGCTTTAACATAATATATTATTTATTTAATTCAAGCTACAGATATAACTACAATTACCTAGAGTAAGAATGCAATAATAAAAAATGTTTTGACAAACTGGTATTAATTATTATTTATTTGCTCATAAAAATTTTGATTGCTGAATAATGTGCTCATTTAACTAATTATGTAACATGTACTAATAACAGTGTAACAGTACATAATACCATTAAGTTGTTAACTTATATAAAGGCATAGGGCTCCTGTTTAATTTCAACTAGCTCAAGTCAGATTGGAAGGCACGGAGATGGGGGAAAGCTAAAGTTTGTCTATAATCATTTGCCACTTAATCTCAACATAGTACAGTAACCTTTAAGATGCTTGATTTATTGATTTCTAAGCATGTATATATGTTTCTACTATCTCTTCTTGCCTGCACTGAAAAATGTAAAAATAATAATCATCTTAATGTGGTCTTTCTAAACTTTCATCCATATCAACAACTTATGTTTTTTATACTTAAGTTGATTTTTTGTTTTTCATACTGATAATAGAGTTATAAAAAAATTATGAAATGTTTGTAAATAAAGATTTTTCATATTACCAAGATTTTAATGTTTCTTATGTAAAGAGGTGATCATTTAGTACCATTACAAGTTTTCTTTCCAGATAGTAAATGTTATACTGTCTTTGTTTTTCTAGGACTGGCATGAATTTTTTTCCATGACATTACTTGCTGTGGCAACAATCTTTACTAGTTTTACCACATGAAATCTAAGGACAATTTTTTTAGCAAAGAATTACTGTATTTCATTTTTGTAGTCTTGTGAAAATTTGCAAAGAGAAACCCACAGAATGGTATTACTTTTTTTTCAGCTTCTTACATGTGTACATGATACATTTACAAGTACAACAGTTTAGGATTAAAAAAGTAAATGAATCCCAAATTGTTGTATCTGAAGATGTCTATCATGTTAAATGAAGGGTAATTTGAAAATGTCTTTAGAAAAAATCCAAACAAGTTGAAAATGGTTAGTTTAGTCTCATATGAGAATAATGATTAGTTGAACGTAATCAGTTGATAAACCTAATTAATCTATTAGGAAGTTCCACTAATTGCCCAGCTTTTCTTGGATTTACTGATTTTTCAGAGAAGATTGTATGAGTACTATTTTTGGAGAGAAACAATTTTATTTCACATGTGCAACTATGTGATATTCCAGTGGTGTGAGTAACTATTTACAGAATCCACGGTTAGTATTCAAAAGGAGGTTGCTTGATTGTAGGAACCAAACAAAAAAAGAGCATTAACAATCATATCCATAACCTTACATAGACTACTAATCAAAACAACAGGTCTTTAATTAGAAGGAATCCTGGAAAAATTCTCACAGTTGTACAATGTAATTCCTCCATTAGGTTCATCATACAAGTATGGTGAAAGACAGGTAGAGAGTAACAAAACCAATCTACACACCTGCTTTAAAGCATACAGTCTTAGCATTATCATTGCTTGAGAACATCTGACAGTGGATCACTACTCTTCTATTGGTAGAAATACACTTGTATCCAGCACATGAGAAAGAAAATGAAATTTTCTTGTAAAAGGTTAGAATCAAGAGTGAGGGTGTATTCAAGATCACTAGCTGTGATTTTGATGTATGGCATTGTGCTGCATATCACACAGAAAGTTTGTTTTTTGTTTCATATATCAGTATTTCATTTACAGAATTGTTTTATGATACACATTTCTAAATGTTTACAAATATCAAACAAAACTATGCTAAAGATATTGTAGATTTTGTTTTAGAATTTTCATGGATTGACTTTTTTTTGTGGCATTAATATGTAATCTATCACAAATATATAAATTTCATTTACTGCTATCATCACAAATGTATACCTTTTATACAATGTTTTATGCATATTCAGTATTTATGTGGTAAAAATTAATAGTTTTTAATGTGATCAGATAATATTTTGTATGTGTGTTCAGGTATTTAAGAGTAAATAAGTTACAGATAATGAACTCAGTTGTGTACAAAACAGTTTTAACTACACAGTTCAAATTGAGGACTGTTCTAAAAAAAATATTTACTGTACTAGTAAATGTATGTGTGTATCTAACCTTTGTTAAATGATAAGTTTCATTGAAAACACATAGTGCAAGAACTTTTCTCAATTGCACTTATGGAAATAATGAGATTAAGATGGCCCAGTACTGATACCAGGTTTGGAGGTCAGTTAAGCACACTACATATGATCCATGCAGTTAATAACCAAAAAGAAGTTAAAAATATACTTTGACATAGAACTGTTTGTTTGTTTTGTACTTTAGAATATATGTTCTTTTGTTTAGGTATCTCTAAGAATATGATTAGTTTTGTAATGAGTAACACTTGTAATTAAAGGTTCTATTGTTGTAAAAACAATATCCCCTTTATTAATTGCACTTGTAGAAACATTTTTCTCTTAGGTAAATTTAAAGTGCAGTGTAGTGGAGTGAACAAAACTTACTTTAGATATAATGAATAAAAGTAGAGGATGCCAGAAATGGTTGACTCAGAATGTGATTACAAAGTATACTTGCAAGGTAATATTGCACCATTTTGGTAACATTTAATATTCAGGCTCTACATTATCTGTATAACAATACAAGCTTATGTTTAGTGACATTGACCTGTTTAGCATGAATGCTTTGTAACATATCTGTACATGTATTCCCTCATAATCCTACTGTTCCAGGATTAAAGTTAAAATTAAAACAAATATCAAAATGTGTCTATATTAGTAGTAGTTTAATTAAGTTTAGAATAATGTTTATGGAAGGAGGACCTATCATGTCCATAAGTTAAACCTGATATATTTACTTGTTTATACACACACACATAAACCATGCATAGAAACTTGGCTTGGTAGGATTGTAGGCCAGTACTGAACCAATAAGGTTAACAATAATGTACCTGTAAGCCTTTATTTATTTAATGTAAAAAATAGTAATTTTTGAAATCAGAATAATTTTTTAATTAAGTAAAAGAAAAAAAATCTGTTGTACCCTGACTACTGATATGTATTTGTTTGTGTATATTTCATATCCAACTGACATCACTTTGTCAATAAGTTTCAGCATGCAGCAGATATAGTTGTACATGTACACAAGATAACAAATAACTGTCAGTAGAATAATGATTCATTTTGTGATTAAGTTAAGCTCTTGCTGCATATATTAATTTTTGTGACTAAGTTTCTAAAATTATAATGTGAAAGTTGATTTAGCAGATTTATATGACTAGTTATGGTGTAATTTTTCTTGTGTTGAAGTTGGTTTCTATAGGCTAGTGACTTTTGTTGTAATTAAACTTCAAAAATGATTTTAAAATGTTTTATATATTTAGAATTAATTTTAATACAAAGTCTCAAACAGTTTTCAGTGGTTGTATAATTTTAAGGAGTTGCTGTTAGCCAAATAATCAGACTATTAAAATCTTAAAAATATTCTTATAAGAATTTTGTGTAGGACTTTAAATTCTGTGCAAAATGAAACAAAGACTTGTTGTCTTAAATGGAAATCCTATACAATAATTATGTGGTACAGAAAATAACAAGTCACAAATAATCTTTATGAATATATGGAAAGAGGAAGCCAGAGAAAAATATAGAAACTTACAAAATCATGAAGACTGGCGGAAAATAGATTAGAAGCTCCTCAAGATAACACGTAGTCATACAGATTTTTCAAAACTTTCCTGATAAACCACATTATTTGTAGATAAAATTGTGCAAGTTTCTCTTGGAGCATAATAAGATTTCAACAGGGTCTTGAAAGACCTAATAATATAATGAATATTGCAATAAGATTCCGAACTTTATTACTAAATCTTTCATATTTATTTACACACCATGTGTTATAATAATAGCTAGTTTATGATGAAAGATCGTAGCATTTTTTACAGGATCATAACCATAAGATCTTTTCATCACAGTCTAAATATCATATTAAGTTTTTGACTTCAACAAGATTTTACAAGGCTTTAGTGTAAAATGTTTGTTTGTTTGTTTTTTGTCAATCTTTGCTTGATTTCAAAAACAGCAGCTTTACCTTGATAACACCTCAAAAATTCAGTCTTGTAGGCATCATGATTATGGATTATGATGGCCATGTTGTACAGATATTAATGCTGCTTAAGTTTTGGGGCTCATTCCCACTGGGATTTCTAGTTCAGTTTCACAAGATTTTTAAGTAATACTAACTTCAGGTCAGAGTAAACTACCAACTTAAAGAAAAAAGTAAAAATCAACCTGGCAATGAGTACAGGTAATTAAATAACTAACTTCAGGTCAGAGCAAACTACCAACTTAAAGAAAAAAGTAAAAATCAACCTGGCAATGAGTACAGGTAATTAAATAACTAACTTCAGGTCAGAGCAAACTACCAACTTAAAGAAAAAAGTAAAAAATAAAAATAAAAAGATATACTCTTCTTACGTTCTTACTTATAAAGATTAGAATGCCTTGTTTTATTAGTTGGGTAACATTACTGTTAACATTATTTTGAGCTGTAAAATTTTTAAGTTGTGTTTCACAGAATTAGTATTCATTATTCTGATAAAGAACTCAGACTTTGAGTAGAATTTTATGTTCAAAGATATATGTAAGAAGTTGCATTTTATGATGAGATGATAAGATACATTAATACTGTATAAGATATACTTTGAAAACATTTGGTGGTTTAAGAAAAATAATATTCATAGCCCAGCAATGAGTAGTACTTAGATTACTTCAGTAGCAGTGTCACTATCTCTTTTGATACTTTTTTTAAAGTTTCAAGTTAAACTGTTTATAGCCAGTAATTATACCAATTACCATCATTTGTAAAATTGTTTTTTTTGCATTTTTATACAGGATAATCCAATGGTGCCTGTACTTATTAAGGTATTTTCTTGGTCCATCTTGTCTGAAACTTAACTGGTTTGCCATGATAGCACACACATTAAACAAGTTTGAATATCTTTATAAAAACCCTTGTTGTTGTTGTTTTTTTGTTTTTTTTCTAAAGCATATTAATCAAATTTTGATTAAAGTTATTCACTAGTGTTAAATTGCTGAAGTTTGAGATTGTGTGAAGGTAAAGCTTTAATTTTAATGATTTATAATCTGTATGTTAAATACTTAAATTTATCTCCTTTTCACAGATCTTTTGGTCACAATGAGAGAATGTTTCTAAAAGAAAGATCTTTCCTACGCTTTCAAGCTTTATTCTGAAAACATCAGCATGGCAGATGTTCGTGCTGAAATTCTTGCAGCTAGTCGATCCAGAACTGGCTGGTTAGACAGTAATGTCCAGAACACTGAAAAACGGCCCTATATAAATACGCTCAAGTCAACATTTGAAGAAAAGTCGCATGAAAAGCAAGAGAAAAAAACAAGTGTGAGCCGATCAGAACCAACAAGACGTTTAGGTAGTAAAGTTAGCACAATAGCCAACATGTTTCAGTCACTATCCCCCCCAAAAGAGGAGTTTTTGATGAAAAGTAAAACCAAATTAAGCCGGACGGAATCACCTTCAAAAGTTCACCAAATTTTGGCAAAAACTGAAACTTCAACAAAATCTCATAACATTTCACAAACAAATCATGTTGCTGTTGGATCTTCCAGTTTGACTCGTAATGAGGGTCATGTTACAAGGTTTAATTCTGCTCGTGCTATGTTTGAACAACTTGAAGAAAAAAGTAAAAGGTTGTCAACAGACAGTACTACATTTAGCTTGAAGCAATCCATTCATTCTTCATCTAGCCACGAAACTACTCCAGACCAACTGTCTCCAAGCCTCTCATCCTCCCCAGTAATAGAACTTCCTGAACGACTTACCAGTAGTTCTAATTCTTCTTTGGTTATACCGGAATCACCTCCTTGTACAGTTTCAGAACGTCCCCAGAGTCTAGACTTTCCTATAGAAACTGTCACTTTAGAATGCAAAAAATCAAGTATTTTAGAAGATTCATTAGTAGATGCTTGTAAAATTCCAACTGTTTGTCCAGCACAGAACAATGAAATCAAACGTAAAAATCTTGAATCTAGTTCTTCTGAAAATGTTGAAAGCAACAGAATACTTGAATGTACAGAAACAAATTTTAACTTAAGTCCAAGTTCATTAACTACAGCTAATTTTCATCCTACAAATAAAATAGAAGTTCATGTAAAACTGGAAGATTACACTGAAACTCAAATTGATGAAGATATGTCACAAGTGAAAAATGTGTCTGTGTATGAACATCCTTGTGTTCATTATGAGCCATCTAGGAATGGCTACCATCCCAGTCTTGATGCAACTACTCATTCATCTGAAGATCCAGGAAATACTGAATCCCAACATAATTTTTCCACATTGTTAGCAGCTGATCAGTCTAACCACAATATGCCATGTGATCAGTTTTTACCTTATAGTGAAGCAACTTTGCAGGTATCAGATTTGAATTCAGAGCTTTCAAAAAACTCCATTTCAGTGAAGGAAAATGAAATATCTTCAGAAAAGGATGAAGATACGTTATTTGAAAACAAAGATGGTTTACTGGTTGATGAAGCAGATGTAAGTGGAGAAAGCTCTCACATGAGTGATAACTCACCAGCCACACCTTTGGATGTGGAAAACTGTAATGTAGGACTGGATAAAGGTGAGTTTGGTGACTGTACTATAATAAAAATTGGTTGCAACGGTATGTTTTATGCTTATAGAATAATGGGCAAATACAACAATCTTACTTGAAGATAAAGAGATTTATTTAATTTTTGAAGCTTGTTCTAGTAGTTGCTATATAAAGAAACATTTGTATACAATTGACATTTTTTTAATTGCATCTCAAGCTATTGATGCTGTTTTACTTAATGTTTATAACCAATGTGCAAAAAAGTTTAACAGATAAAAGTATGTGAAGTATCAATTTAAATGTTGACATTTTTCCTAAAAACCTTTACACTCATATTATATGTAATATTAGTTCTAAAAGGATTTAATGTATTCAATTTTTGTGCGCTATGAAGCTTCTTGTTTCTCTGCTCATTTGGACTGTTAAGGTTCTTGGAATAAAAAAAAGGATAAAAATAACTTTTTTTTGGCAAAAAGTATTATTATGCTCCAAAAAATAAAATACTTACAATAACAGTAGATAAAATATAACCCATACTAGGCCTGTCAATACAATATTGAGGAAACAAAATTAAGTAGGCGTACCACTGGTTCACAGTAAAGCTTTGTTGAAAAGATTCTCTATGATAAAGTTCCTTGAATACTTTTTACAATGGGAAATAAAAACTGACCTTTCTTATGCTACTTTATACAACTTGAAATACCTAAAAATCAAAGGAAAACTCTGGAATCTATTAAAATGAAAACTTTTTTTTTCACTAGGTGACTAGGCCTTTTATTATTTTAGGTTAAAAGATAACTATACTAAAATCAACAGGGGGAGCAAATTCAAATGCTGATTGGTAATTATTTTGAAAGTAATATTTTCACCACTAACTGTAGAAGGAAGAAAAAAAAAACATTTCACTTGTAGGTTACAAAACCAAAAATATGCACATGACAGCCAACTACTTTACATGGCCTGAGGTTTTCTTATTAAGTATACACATTATTTTGTATGACTTTTATACACTGTATGGGTATAACATAGGGGTTATCCGGTTTCAGTGGGGGAGTTTATTGCAACTTATGCATTCCAATTTTCAAAGTAAATTTACTGAAATTTTTTAACTGTGAATATACATAATTATTTTTTGTTTAAAAGGGGTTTTAACTTAAAGATTGTAATTTATCTCAAAGATTTTCCTAGGACTTCATGTTGGAGATTTTTATTTATTTATCAAGACCAAATAGTGAATGAAATCCTTTGTAATTTTTCTTAGGTTGGATTATGATTAATGTTATTAATTTTTCATTAGCTATAGAGAATTGGCCCCCTCAGAATCTGTCTAGTAATTTCCCATCAAGTATGTCTGAAGGGGTAAAGGGTTAATGTTGTTTTGTCAAATATACTAGCTATGACATGTGTACTTTTAAATAATGAAAATCCATATTTAAAGAAAGTAGTAGGGTTGACAGTAAAATTCTAAAGAGAACTACTTGTACTTTTTTAAATAACTTTTGTGACCAAAGGAAAAATAAAGAAAAACTTTTATGTTACTGATGATAAGGTTGTGGCAATCAGATATTAATCATTGCCATGTCACCTAAGTCTTTAATTAGTCACCAATTTTTTTAGTAGATACTAATACTAACTAGTGTTTACTTTTTTGTTATGGCTATTACTCTGTTGCTGTCTTTTGAGTAGTCTAACTAATTATTAAATAGTTTTCAACCTGTGCTTCAGCCGCTAATCTTTATGAAGATGGTTATTGTAGACTGCCTAATTTCTGGAATAAACTAGAGCAATTAGCGAGATTGCATACCCTCACCCTGCTGCTCATTTTCGAGATTGCATGCATTTATATTGGATAACATCAAATTCCATTTCAGAAAATTCTTTTCAGATCCAAATGATCAATGCTCTGGAATATTTTTTCTAGTGTGTGATGAAGAGTCTCATCTTTAAGGTGCCCATGAAATTTGGTACAAATCCAATCACACTTTACAGAGTTATTAACCAAAACTGCGAAAAGTGCCCTATCTCCTGATTATACAAAATGCTTCAAAGTGATCTGGATCTACACCAAATTTGGGGAGGCCTGTCCCATATTGACTTCCCATCTTGTATACAATTTTCGTGGATATTAGTCTATTAGTTTTTGAGATATGTGCATGGAAACACAGGCAGACAGACACACACACACACACACACACACACATGAACATGATTGCAATACCTTTACCCCCTCCCCCCAAATCCAGGGGTGAGGGTAATATGATGCTACAAAATCTTATTCATTCTGGAAACTAGCAATTTACAGTGGCTATTTTTACACTACAACCCTCTTGGACAATGGATACCTCCCAAAAAAAAAAACTTGATAAAGAAGATAAACACCAAGAATAAGCAAAGATCTCTTTGAAAACATACAGAAGATATGTTAACAGCATAAATTCTGAACAGTTTTCAGAGATGGCACAATATAGTATTATCATAGTTAATACACAAAATCACCCAAAGACCCATTGAAGAGCAAAACACTATTTACAAACATCCCTGGTGAATGTCAACTCAAACACTTTGAAAAAACAAAAGTTATGGTTGAGGAACATAATAAAACACACAAGACTAATTTGTCTGCAATAGCCCATTATACTAAAAAAGAAAACCGTACATTAAATCAGAATAACACAAAAGTAATGGGATGTAAACCACACAAGAAAAAAGAAAGATAAAAGAAGCCTTATATATCTATCTAACCGATAATACACTTATCCAATCCAGCATAGAACTCAGCAAGACCTGAATACCTCTCTTGAAAGCATCCAAATAGTTAGTTGATTCAAAACTTAATGAGGGGGACTCCAGGAAAGTGGATAACACACTAGCCTCACTATTAATGAGACCCAAGACTGAATTCCAGCCACTACCAATATAGAAGTGATCCTTCTTGGGGCTTTCTAGAAGTCAGTAACAGATTAATAGCTGCAAAATAGGATAAAAACTAGTTAGTAATTAGTATTTACTAAGAAAAAAAATTGGTGATCGTATAGGTTTCTGACCATGACAACAAAGAAATGTTTCTGCATCTTGTTCTGATCAAATGTACTTAACCATAGTGAAATGGATAGCCATAAAAGATATTTTCAAACAGATAATAAAAATATGCATGAAGTTTAATGATTAATATATTCTATGAACCTTTTAAGTGCCCATTTCCCTATGCATAAAGATAAATGTGTATAGACCTGGTTATTTCTCTGTCTTTAGATGTCATAGACGCAGAGAAAAAATATCCCGTGTACATAGGTAAAGAAAAAATAATAATCAAAGACCTTATTGAAGAATGTGAACCTAAGGCTATAGCTGGTGAGGAGAATTGTGAGAATTTTTACAAGAGTCAGTCTAACTATCAAGCTGATGAAAACTCTGTATCACCATCATCTGTAAAAACTGACAGTGAAGGAGACAGAAATGAAGGAGACTTGACTTCACATATTGAAATTTGCACTCCTGATGACATTTCCCCTGCTTCTCCTGATATTTCAGTGCCTATTACTAGAAGGAAATGGGAAAAACCTCTCTATCCTGATTCAGTTGACAGCCCCAATACCAAGAGTGATGGAATCAAAGGATATGAATTTGGAGAGTGGTCTCAGGATAAGCATATTTGGAGTGAGCAAGACAGAGAAGATCTTCAGAGCTTGAGTTCTGTCTACTTTTTGTCCCAGGTAAAATTATTCTTATTGCTTTTTAACTTTTGTTTAGTACACCTATTACCAGAAGATATATCTCAACTTTATAATTTTTGACTGGTATTGTACACAAGCCCAGAACACTTAAGGAAATAAAAATATTCAATTTCCATTACTCAAAATATTCATAAAACTATTTGAAATCTCTATTTCTCTCAAACACACACACACACTCAAATTTGAAAGCTGAAATAAAACTATGTGGTTAGAAGTTAGGATTGTACATAAGCTGTGAACTTTTTTTTTTCAAGTTTTGTATCAGATTTTATTTTTGTTTTGTTATGCATAGAAGCAGGAATGAAGAAGAAAACTATTTAGATATACTTATACTTAAGGCACTGATAATTATAAAATTGAGAAGAAAAAGCTATTTATTAGGGATTAATGATTTGTTTGTGTATATGGGTTGTGCTTTTAGAATTGTCTTTCAAACTGCACTTGGCTTACTATCTCAAGAGAACAGCATATCCAGTGTAGTAAATTCTTAAAATTGAAATTTTGTTGAAAGTTTCTTTGCTCTGTAACCCTATACTTTTTAATTGGGTTCATATGGGTTCCCATTGGTTTTTTTAGACACATTTTTTTCAAACTATTTATGCACCAAATGTAGAGGATGGAAGCTATACTAATAGCAAAAGGTTGGGGTTAGTATAGTAGTACCTTAACATCTTGGTATTTATGTCCAGCCATCATATTGGGGGCTGGAATGTCAACTTCAAGGACAGTTTTGTTGTTCCCTCATTGATGTACAGTACTCTAATTATTACCTTTCTTACTTCTTTTTTTTTTTCTAATGTAGGGTTCTAAGCATGAAATTATTCCTGAAACATCAAAATGTGTGAAAGATGCAGCTGGTGAGACTTTAGCAGAATTTGAGTGCCGAGAACATGAACTATTTATGGTTGAGGCAGTCTTGGAATCTGATCAATCTACTAATCAGGTAATATGATTGTAAAATTAAATTAGATAATTTGAATAAAAAATCTGTTTCTAATTTAGAAGAAGTGATCATTGCTCAGTGATATTTTGCTGATTGTGACTGAACTAAATTGTGAAATTAAAAATTTTAATGCACTAATTAGACATCAGACATGGTTTTTGTTTCAGTAGATAAAGAAAGATTAGGTTACTGATATAATAGATTTTGTTTTCTCATTTCTAGAAATTGTTGTTACTGTTAGTTTGTACAAGCATTTAAATTGTTTTCCGGCTATAACAACAAACAAACCAGTGTTTTGTGCCATCCACGTGATTCTTTTTTATCAGTGTCCCAGTTTACTACATGAACTTGTGCATGCTTTTGACAAGAATATTAACAAATTCTACAAACATTATAATAAAATTGTATTACCAATTAGGAGTAAATGGCACTGTAATGTTTTATTACCATAAATGCCACATTTTGCCTAATATCTAGTTACTTGTGTGAATAAGCAGTAAGAAACCAGTGTCTACCACTGTAATCATCTCTAATGGTACTTTCGAAGAATGTAAATGTTAATGCATCAGTAAATGTAAGTGCTCAAAACAGTAAATCCAGCCTAATGCACGTACCAAAGCAGTGTAGTGTTTTAGTACGAAAGTCTTCTGAATTTAATAATTATTTCTAACCTTTAAACTACATTTATTATAAATACATGCAGTTTGTGTTAAGAATATGGAGGTCTTTTATAGCAGGGTTAATTGTGGTGTGAAATAAAGATTATACAGTCCACTAGAGTGGATGGCTATGTTGTTGTTCAGCCAGCTTCTCTAGAGTCAGACCACCTACTGAATCTGACAGAATAAGTTTGTGCACCATTTGATAGAATATGTACCTTCCAAGCCCAGCAGAATGAGTATTCAAACAGCCTGACAAGATGAACACCTAACGAAGTGAGCATCAACCCAATCTGACAATGTAAGAACTATATTCATGCTTATAGAAAGAACAGCTATGCAGGTTGAGAGTAAAAGTGCTAACACAGGCTGAGAGAAAGAGCAATTATCCAAGCTGACTCAATGAGCACCTATCCAGTCTAACAAAATGAGTATTAATCCAGGCTGACAGAAAAAAAAAAGCACTTACCAAAACTCGTAGAATAAATGATCACTCAAAATATAACTTATATAAGAATTTTGGCTAAAAAAATTAAGTAAATTTTGTTATGTATTATTACAAACTAATGTTTTACTTTAAAATCTTAATGTTGTTTTCTTTATTGAAAAGGGACCTTTTAGCAACCTAAAAGGTAACTGTTCTCATTTGAATAATGAGGTGGAGTTGATGACATCAGAAGAAGCTGAAAGGTTTCTTAGTTCAAGGTAAATGTTTTCCTTTCTTCCAGTAGCCATTGTTATATATATATATATATTATATTTTTGTTTATGGTTATCTGTATTAATTCAATGTTTATGGTGGCTAGTTTTTTCATTTTTATTAGGATTATTTAATACAAAAATGTTACTGTTCCATAAGGAAGTGGCTGATCAGCTTTTAAAGTTATGATGTTAATCCTTCAGATATTGTTTTAAATGTGAATTAACCTTAAAATCAGAAGTGATCATACTGAAATTGCCCATTTTTTTTTGGTGACAACTTTGAACAAGTGGAAATACGCTAGACTGGTTTTTCTTTAAAAAACTGAGTAAGTTTAAGGCTCATTGTCTTGTTTTGCAAACATGTAGTGATGCTTTCAAAGTTTTGTTTTTGTTGATGAAAATGTCCTCCCAAAGTAAGGCTACTTTTGCTCAGAGCTATTCCATTTTGACCTCGATTTCCACTTTAAGAATGGTTTGCAACATGTTCCTGACATCTAAGATGCACTTTGCACTTGGTAGAAATAATAATCAAGGTTCTTCGACTATTTCTCATGACTTAAGTTGATTGAAAACAGAGTTACACTCATGTCAGTTCTCCACCTAATAAATATGAAAGTTACTGATTAATCTCAGTAAATAAAATTTAAAGGTATTGTCATGAACATAACAGTTTATAAGTTGTACATGATAAAACTTCACTTTTTTTTGACAACATATTAAGTGAATTATAAAAAATGTATTTCCCTCTACCTTGCAGTTTGCACTGGCTGCTTATCAAGTCACTGCCTTAGAAAGAAAACATTCATGATGATAAGATATTTCCCTATTTGCCAAAACTGTAGATAGAATACTACTTCAGCTAACAATGATTCAGAAAATCACATGTATGGCTAATAGTAATATAAGAACTTTCATCATTGCAGAAATAAGCTAATACAGTGTTCAAGCAACAGAACAACCACAACAATATTAGTAGTACACATTAGTTGAAGGTGCACTATTACTATGTGTGCTATTGATGTTATGCTCCTGCTTGTTTTGTAATTCCTTTTTGTTTTAAATGAAACCTTATTGGATCAGATAATAGCTTTAGTTTTATGTTTTTGAAGCCCCTCAGTGGCACAGCGGTATGTCTGTGGACTTACAACGCTAGAAACCGGGTTTCGATACCCGTGGTGGGCAGGGCACAGATAGCTTTGTGCTTAACTTCAAAAACAAACAAACATGTTTTTGAACCCAGGTACTTGGTAAAATCAAATCAAATTTTTTATTGGTTTAGTTATAAGTATGTTATGTTACAGATGAACAATTACATAGCCCTTTAAGGTAAAACTGTAGAAGCATTTTATATTTAACAAAATCACCAACATGGTGGTGGTTTATCATTTTTTTAAGTACACAGTTGTTAATTGTTTTTGGACTGGGGTCCTTTAAATTTGTCTAAAATCTTAATTTGGCATATTGAGTGATGGAAGTCCATCATTTAGGTATACTTATAGAGAAAGAAAGAAAGAGAACATTTGTGTTCTGAAAGTTCTTGAATTACATTTCACAATGATATAAAAAATGGCATTCTAAAATAATTCAAATGTATAATTATAAATGTTCACATACACTGCCCAGAAAGTCCAAAGAATATATATAACATCACAAGAAATTGCTGTTGCTGTGTTCCAAAAATACATTTCTACAGAAGCCCAAGAATAAAGGTGTATATATTATTATTATTGTTGTTTGATTTATTTTAGATGAGTGAATATTAAATGATATTCATGCCTTGAAATGTAGTATAAAAGATGTTTTAATCACTTGTGTACCTGGTTTCAAAAATATTTTTTTGCCTGATATATATATATATGTAATTTTCATAGTATAATAAGTAATTTTGTAAACCAGCTGTGGATATGTTTTAGAAATAACAAACAGTTAATTTTGTATTGAAATTGTTTTTTTTGTTTTTTTTCCGTTCTCGATTAATCTGCTGGTTCACAGGATTTTTCGGTAAGTTTTATTTCAACACATGGGAAAAATTGGTTACTCACTGTTACTGTTGCACTGACTTCAGAATGTGTTTATTAACATGGGTGATGGTGTAAACCTCTCTCTGCATTCCTTGTCTTTTGATACGAGTGTCGTGTGAAGGTGCACTAATAAGATCTAGAAGGAATGTTGTAGTTTCATATCACTCTTTCCCATAGTGTGTAAATATGTGTGGTTTTGTAAAAGTATTTGATTTTTTTTTTCCTGTGAACCACTTAAGTCAGTATTCTGACTGTGTGGAGAGACCATGTTTGATCGCTACTCACTTGACTGTTCTTGGAAATAACTGATTAAAAATGTTTCAGTGAGTGCTTTTATTAAACTAAATATAAATATGTGGAAGATTTTTTCTATCATATCTAAGCTAAAAATTATGTGATTATGATTGTGAATTGAAATATTAGTAGCACATTTTTATATGGAAATTTGTAAATATTGTAAACTAAGAAAAGAAATGTTGACAATAAGGTTAATAATTTTAAGATGAACATTTACTTGTTGGAACAAAAAACCACTTACACAGAATACTGATTGAATACATGTAACAAGACTGTTAGGTTTTGTTAGTTTTTCAAATCCTTAAGTTAAAAAGAAATTTGTTTTATTCCTTTTGATTAATATTTTAAAAGTGTACTTGTTCTAGTGATATAGAAAGGCTTAGAGATGCTTATAAAACCTGTTACTGAGTTGTAGAATGTAACGTTAAATAAAACTTCTTTTAGTTAGAAGGGTTTTTGTTCATTTTTATAGATATGTACAAAACTGTGATAAATTTCAAAACTTATAATTAACTTGTAGTATGAATTAAGAAAAAACGAATAATTGATATTTCTGCTGATAAGCTAATATTTCACTGAATTACAGTTCACGGCAAACTATGTTAAGTGATGAAGAGGCGAATGAGGTAAAGTTACTTCTTTCCCACCAAAATGAAAATTCAATCACAAGTGTGGACTTAAAGACATCAGGGGAATTCTATAACTCGGCTCTTATGTCTTTGGATGGATCAGGATTAGACGATGAAGGAGAATCTGCTTCTGAGATTCCCTGTTCGCCAGGTTCAAAGATCTTTTACAATAATACTGAATACCATATACTTGAAGGGGGCCATTACTTCACTGAAATTTTAGGTTTAGCGGAAGAAAGTGAAGATGATGAAGTGACTATGTACTGCCCTGTTGTGGCTCGAAAAAAGACACGAGTTAAGTTTAGTTCCAGTCCCATCAGAGTAAGTGTTTAATCAGTTCAATGCTTTTTCTTTTTTTATTATCACCTCCTCTTTAATTTTGTTAATTCTACTAGATAAAAGTGTTACTTTACAGTGTGATTATAATTACTAAAATATGTAACAAGTGACAAAGTAACACTTTTATATAGTTTGAATAAACAATTTAAAATTGATTGTCATGTATTTTATTTGTTAAATTGAGGAAATATTTGAATTAATGTATTACATGCATTTGATGCCTACTTTTATGGTAAAAAACACTGATCTTGTTCTTTTGGTATCCAGTTAATAATAGTTTTCAAAATTGTATGCATGGCTTTTGAAACTTAGATTTAGTTGCCTGCTATTTTATCTTCCAGCTTTTTTTTAATGTTTCTCTACATGTATTCAACTGTAATGTTTGACAATCAAGTTCAAATTCTGATGATTGATGATTTTGACAGGTCTATAGTACATACTCTGTTGATGATTATGATCGGCGAAATGAAGATGTTGATCCAGTGTCTGCCTCTGCAGAGTATGAGCTAGAGAAACGTATTGAAAAGATGGATGTATTTCCAGTAGAACTTGTAAAAGGTATTTAGTTATTTTATGTTAACCTTCCTGTAAAGTTATAAAAGGTAATAACTTATGTTCACATTTCTAGTAGAATTCATAAAAGGTTGTTTTTGATTTGTTTAATTATATTATAATGAGTAACTTATATTAAATTCTATACTTTAGAGAGGAGTGGTAAATAAATTAGAGAATGGAGAAGACCAAGAGAACAAGTGTGATTCTAATACTAGGGGAGATTGAGAATGTTTTTAATACTTTTTATAAAATTAAGTACTTAAAATTTATATAGTATTAAAATTTGATTTATTAACTATGTTTTGATGTCAAGTTTAGTCGTATACAATGAAAATAAAATAGATTAATTATATTTTGAATGTAACTCTATAAAAGGTCATGACATACACACATTGATCTACCTTTTATGTGAGGGTTAATGTGTATAGTGAGTTCTCATATTTTTATTTTTGGCTTTTATTGATTATTGATCAGTTTCTGATCCTCTAGGCTAAGTTTCAAGGTAAGAAACATAAAGAATGGCAATATATTATTTTATTGTCTTGACCAATGGTTTGCACATACACTTTTTGCTGACAGAAAAAGTAGTAAGAAAATGTCACACAATTTTTAGTTGAATGCTGAAATAGTAAACATGTATTAAAATTTATTAACACTTTTAACAATTATTTCTGTTCAATCTTTCTAAGAAACACTAAGTAACAGTTTTTGACACTGTACCTATAGATAACGGATCTAATAAATCCACATGGCAATGAACAGGTTAAACCTATAGATGATGGATCTAATAAATCCACATGGCAACGAACAGGTTAAACCTATAGATGATATCTAATAAATCCACATGGCAACGAACAGGTTAAACCTATAGATGATGGATCTAATAAATCCACATGGCAACGAACAGGTTAAACCTATAGATGATGGATCTAATAAATCCACATGGCAACGAACAGGTTAAACCTATAGATGATGGATCTAATAAATCCACATGGCAACGAACAGGTTAAACCTATAGATGATGGATCTAATAAATCCACATAGCAACGAACAGGTTAAACCTATAAAAGTATTAAAAGAAATATAAATATTTTGAAGCAAAGATAAGCAAGTATTCTCTATTTAAAACAGAAATGTTTTCATATTTGCATCAAGTTTCTTCACATCGCAAACTAAGTAAAGATCAGAGAACTCAGAATTACCTCATAATAAGTATCTTGGTTGAATCTCCTGTTATTCTGCTACTCATATTCACTCTTAGGTTTTGCTTGAGAATACCACGTTGGCAGTTTTTCAGACAATAGTTATTTTTCAGCTAAGGGATTAATATTTTGAAATAAAAGGTACCTTTAAAAATGTGAAAACAAGACTGAATAAATTTACTTTTAGCCCAGAACAATGCATGAGAAGCATGCTAAACTTATAAGTTAGTCATTTTTATACATACATACTGAAGAAATGTTTTCTTCCAGCCTATATGTTTTCTTGTATGCCAGAAATATTTACTGTGTGATTTTGTTTTCCTCCCTCTTTCATGAATTTTTATGTATCCATAAAGTTACTGATATTTTATTGTAGGTTCTGAAGGTTTGGGGCTGAGTATTATAGGAATGGGTGTTGGAGCTGATGCTGGACTTGAAAAACTAGGTATATTTGTGAAAACTATAACAGATGGTGGAGCAGCTGACAGAGATGGAAGGTGAGAAGTTTTGTGCAGTAAAGTAGTTTGATTGAACTATCTGAAGATATTTTTCTCACACACAAAAAAAATATTAGTCACTACACTCCTTGAAATGTGTTTAGTTATTAAATTTGAGATTTATTGAATTTTTGGGTATCATTAATTTCAATTTTTATAATGCTGATTTTTACATTATTTTTATTTTCACATTTCCACTCAATTCTAACTATATATATATAAATTGTTACTTTAGGTTTTCATTTTGAATTAATGGACTTAAAAGGCTTTAATTTAAGTATTGTTTTAACTAACTCTTAAAATTTAATTAAAATGTACATTTCTTTAGAAGTTGAACTCTTAATGACCAATGAGGGAAGGTTGTAAATAGTATAGTAATTTCTACTCAGAAATTATTGGTTACATTGTTAAAATTCCATCTGAGTAGCACTTTGTTTATTTAATGTTGTCTTTTAGTGGGTTTCTAATTGGCTGATACTGAGTTCATACTAGAGGTCACTAGTAGTACAGATATTATTAACCCAGGTGAGAAATCATGTCTGAACATGTAATTTTTTATCATTTTTTGACCAGGTTTTTGGCATGCTCTTTTGAATAGCGTAACTCTTTAAAGTTATTAAGCAGTTTTTGCTACTGTCCCAGATTTCCTCATCCACCAATTTTGAGTGGATAAGTATAGATGAAGATTTTATTATAATTTTTCATGATTTATTTTTAAAAATTAGTGATTTTAAATCAAAAACAATAGTACATTTTTAGTTCATTGTATTTAGTGAAAATTAATTGAAGTTCTTCAATGGATCAGTATCTTTTGAAACTGTATTTATACATATTTTCATGTTAAAGACTTTGAGCTCAATAGAAATTTCATATCTGTTTGCTAAAAGGGAAAATATTTTTCAGATAGAGCTTTTGTGTTTTCCTTAGAATCCAGGTGAACGATCAAATCATTGAGGTGGACAGCAAGTCTTTGGTCGGAGTAACTCAGGCCTATGCTGCATCAGTGTTAAGAAACACATCTGGATTAGTACGGTATGTTTCTTTCGCCTCTTTACCTTGCAGAGTATTAAAATGTTTAGAAAATTTTTGCTTTAATAGAAATTGGTCTTTTTTCCTGCATAAATATTTCCATTTAACTTATAATTTTCAGACTGTGTATAGAATTATGCTTATATTAGGGCTTATCTGAAAATAATATCCCCAGTATTAAACCTTAAAAACACAGATCTAAGTGTAGGCAAAAATAATCATGAATCCTAATAATATATTATGATGAGTATATATAACTTTTTCATGTGTTATGTATATATATTGTAAATGTTGAATAAAACTAAATACTAAAGAAAAACTGAAAGTTTATCATAGTTTCAGCCAACACATGAAATACCAAGGAAATATTCTGTTCGATGATTAAAAAGATATTTTCAGTTTTTTTACTTTGGTTCTTCTTGTATTGTACTTGTGGAATAAGAGTCATTGGTATAATGCTAACTTTTGCAGTTGTTTTATTCTAACTCTTATTACAAACGTTGAGAAAATGTGAAAAATTGCTGTTGGAATTTAGGTTTGTTATTGGTCGTGAAAAAGACAGCACCAACAGTGAAATAGCACAGCTAATATCACAGTCGTTGAAAGCAGACAAAGAACGAGAATCTCGGCAGCTCACCATAGAACAACAGTACATGCAGCAAAATCGTGAACAAGTAAAGGTTTGTAGTTTGTAATGTTATTTTTTATAACTGAACAACTGCAGTCAGAACAAAAAATCCTACCAAATAAAGGTGATTTTATTTTTCTAATTTGGTTTTAAATAAGAATATGAAGGTATCATTTTGGTGTTTTAGTAAAGTTCCTCTTAACTAATACTTTATAAGATTGGAAAGCTATTTTTTGACAATGTGTTATGTAAGAAAATGGATAGTTTGGGAATAAAATGTAAGTAAATTCAGCAATGTGAGATAATCTATTAGAAAATTTATCATATTTTAAATGTGTTAAATAATGGCCATATATTTTGACCCTTACAGTATTAAATGTGAAATACTTCAATATCAGCTCATGTATATCTTAATTTCCTTTAAATATATCTTACTTTTTGCAAACTACTTAAAACTTCAATTAAATGTGTTTATCCTGTGCTTTGAAGGTGAATGAAAATGTTTAATTGTAATAACTGTAAAAATAAAGATTTATTATACTTTGATCAAATTTATCACTCTTTTAAAAAAAATCAGTTGATAAGTTTGCTTTTGTAATTAACATTTCAGACCCAACCTCTTCATTCCTTGGATAATTCACTTGATTCAACACCTGAAGATGGGGAGGATAATCCAATTATAGAAGAGCTAAACATGAATAATGAAAGTAGTGACTCCCTGTCACCTGAATTTGAAGTGGAAACATTGATAATTAAACTTAAAGAAGTTGGTATATTTATGAACAACAATGATCAGGTTTATTTTAAGTTACAATATTTAGTAATGTACAGCTGTAACTTGGGGTTACTTAAATCAGACTTGTATCTAAACATGTGTCTTTATTATTATTACACCATTGTTAATATGGAACTTTTATTTAATTGCACAAAATAAGAATGAAAAACAGACTTCTTCACTCAAAGTATTGCTCAGTCTCACATGACATGATGATTGTTTTGAAGTAGCTTTGAAAATATAAGTTTAAAAAAGGGCATGCACTGTTGTAGTGAGCGAGTATAGATCTTTAATGTATAGGAACTCTAATGTAAGTTTCACATAAATGTTAACAAGCAAAGAATAACCTCAAATCGTAATATAACAAGCTTGCTCTCTCTATCATGTTTATCAATCTTCTGACCAGATTTTTTTTTCATTTATGAACATGTGAGCTTGCAACAAAGATGTTACTTTGCTTATTATTATTATTTTAGAACAAAGCGCACAAGTTTCATGTCTCTATAAACAGAGCTGCTCTGAATCTTAATATCTTAGATAGCCCATAAAATGGATATAGATGGTAAAAACAATGTATACAAAGTCTAGGATATGCAGCAGAGAAATTAGATAATCATTGATTTCAGCAGTAACTACTCTGAAATTAAAACTTTATTTAATGTTTTGAATAAATGTGAAACATTATAATAATGAGTGTTGTAATTAATGTTAATGTTGTATTCAAAACACTAAAAGCTTGATGTAAAGATTATGAAATTTTCATTATTTGATTGATAAAAATAACCATGTTTTTATATCATTGACAGTGTGACCCTGACTGTTGTGTGCATCTGTGTTTTTATTTTGTATTATTTTGGTGGAAAAATTATAATTCTGTTATTTAATAAATGACTGCTATTTTTTTTCTTCTTCACTAAAATTACGCTTCTCTGTTTACAGGCCCAATATAAACAGGGATTATCAGAAACAGAAATCAAAAGACTGAAAGAAAAAGTAAGAAAGTTATTATTAATTTCATACTATACTTCTGCATTGTTACTCATCTTGGTAAAGTATCAATTGGTTTTATAATGGTATGTTGTGTGCTTAATGCAGAACTAATTTTAAAAAAAATCACACTTTGAAATATTTTTAAGTACATTATCTTCTAAATAACCACTTATTGAAATTATTTTATGTATTTGTGTTTATTCTTTACTTGTGTATGTGATATAATTTTAAGCTTTTTTGTGGTATTAACTCTCTCAGCATGGACTTGGTCCCAGGGACTGACCTGGTAACCATTTAGTACTTCTTATAGTTTTCATGCTATTACTTTTAAATTAGTAGGCGTATCTTCACAAAAGTTTGCATATTATCAGTAAACATTACAAGGATTTTGTATGTAAAATATCAGGTTTTTTATTAAGTTTTAAGATTTCTAAAGTAATGTTTTTCTCATGCCTTTTTTCTTTTTGAATGTTGACTATCCAACATGCAAAGTAATTTTGATTTTAAGATTAAATATACTTTTGTGCATCAGAAAACTTTCAAATTTCACATGCGAAATTTTTATAACCCTCAGATAATTATCAAATGTTTTTTTCTAGAAAAAAACTTAGATATTTTATCTGCTATTTTCACTACTGTATCTCTATGGATTGGGTCAATTTGACCGACCTCGTAACAACCATAAAAAATTAGGAAATAAATATAAATTATTCTTTTTTTCATTTCTAGAATGACTGCAGCTTATAACATGAAAAAATGTTTAGTCTAAATAGCTTAAATCTTATAACATCATACATCTATATATATTTATTATTTTATTATATTGACCTTTCAGCTGGGCCTGGCTAACATTACAGAAGTTGCAATCATGCGGCACACGTGCACTCATGTTACGGTATCCAAGAATATAAAACTGGCCTTTATAAAATGACCTGTCTTGGCTGTGTTTTAGTGGACCAGTATTTTGTAAAATACAGTCACATTTCAATTATAATATGTTATATATGTACATACATTATTACTATTTACAAATAAGTTCTTAAACTTATTTTTCTTAAAACATAGAACAGTAAATAATGAAGTATAGCAAACAATTATCTCTTCTAGTTACGAACTTTGTACTCATTTGATTCTTGCCATAAGTTGCTGAACCCTATCAAATTTTTTTAGGTTTTATATATATATATTTTGAATTAACCAAAAATCATAAATTACTATATCAATACCACAGAATTCCACTTTAATTTATCAAGCTTAGTAACTAAGCTATATTTGAGTCTAAAAAAAATATGAAATTTTGAGCTCAGTAATGTCTTACCTTACTGCTTGGAGTCTAGCATGAAAAGAAAGAATTTGCCGGGCAAATATTTTGCAGAGGTTGAGAAAACCACTAGGGGAACATTCTGAGCTTTCGATTGGTTATACACACATCATTGGCCACTTTGGTTGATTCAATAAATATAGTAATATCTCAGGAAATAGAAAAGATAGGAGGTTCTTATTTTACATTCTAGCTTGTTGGTATCAGTAATTTGAGTATCTAATTCGTAAGAAAGTATAGAATGTGTATTTGGACATCACAAACATCTAATTGGAACCAATGCTGCATTCAACATACCATGTGATACACAAAAATTGATATTTAGGATTTGTTTTGTAATATTACTTTTAAATTAAGAAATTAACTAATGTATAATACAAAAATTTGAAATATAATCTACAATTTGATACCAAAGTTATTGAAATACATTCATAAAATAGTAGTTCAATAAAATTTTGAATGCAAGTCAACAAGTGCAATGACATGGCCTTTGACCTGTGACCCATGTAAGTAAGGTTAATAGTGAGCACTCATTGAATCCTGGTCATGTCCAGTCAACTAAATGTGATTTAGGGACTTTTTTATGTAGTGAAGTAGATGTGGACAGATATATGGCCTCAGTATGGAGTGTGAAACATTGTTAGGGTCAAAAATTCCCAAGCAGTTAGCCACTTTTCAAACACAGCATTACTGTATAAAACAAATTAATACTAACTTCTGATCAAAACAAGCTACCTACATAGATCAGAAGTCAAATCGGTAATTAAGATAACTAATTTAAGCTTGTATGCTTATAGTGATTAGAATACATTGTTTCATCAGATTAAGAGATGCATTGAAGATAATTATTTTCAATTGTTGCATATCATGAATGTAAAACAAACTTTGTTCATAACATCTGAATAAAGCCAACAATAACAAACATAGAATTGTTATGAATTTCAGAGTTGCCGCTTGTGTAAAAGGTTGCCAAGTTAAATCTATTTACCTTTAACAATAATTTGCTATGAATTTGAATGAATTAATAGGTGTATCTTGTATGATAGATTCATATCTAAGATTGTTTAAGTTTTCTGACCTTTATGTGATACAAGGTATCCATCCACAACTGTAAATTAAGGTTTCTTTGTATATTGATATATATATATATAAATATCCATCAAACAAATTATTATTTTAAATTATATTTTAGTAAACCTATAAACAATTTTATCAGTCATACATAATCATGACTGTTACTGCTTTCTGGCCCTGAAGTATTTAATGTATTGTTACAAGGATTCCTTTCCTGACAAATCAATTAAGAAAACTTTCTAATAGAATGATAAAAAATATTTTAATTCTAAATATAATTTTTTTATAGAAACTTCAGTTGTCCTAACTAAATCACTTTTAGCATTCATGGTGAAGAAAATTACATAAAATCTCTAGATACACAACCTTGAAGGAAACATATTTTTGTTAAAATTTGTGAGAGATGTTATGATAAAAACAGACAAAGGATTTAGGATGTCAGTCTTTTAATAACCTGAGAACTACAGCTACACAAGAAACAGGTCAGTTGTATTTTGAATTGATCAGTTAAATATGCTCATTCTGTTGCTATATGAGCTTTGTGTAGCCTATTGGTTAACATCTCAGGATATCAATCTTGGTGTCCATTGTTCACCACCTGTTCTAACAAAACCATGCTCTGCACTTTGGGGCCATGGGTTTGTTATAGCAGTGATTGTCAAATTTCACTGTTTGATTAGAATAGCCAAAGATTGTGGTGGGTGCAGTTGATGGCCTTCCCTCCAGTTTTTAATTTCAAAGTTAAGGACTGCTGGTTCCCTCATGTAGCTTTTTGCAAATATCCTAAACAAATAAAGCTGTTACTTTATGTAATATCTAACTTACAATAAAGTCATATTCAGTGCAGCTTGATTTGCATACTGATCAACTTGTAATAAAAATATTCCTCTTAGAACATTATTCCAGGATTTAGGGGCTTTTTTATGTTAATGTTACCATTTGTTTTTTGATTGATATGTTTGTTGTTTCTTACGTCTTAGAAAATGTAGATTATCAACAATGCCCATCAAATGTACTTTTGTCATTCTAAGATGGAATTATATTTAAAGTTCTTAAAGTTGTTGTCATACAAAGTTTGATATCTTTTTTATTTGTTTCAGAAATGGTAGATTTTTGTTTAAAATTTAATTACTTAGTATAGAGCAACAGACCAATTTGAATAACAGCTTAAAAAATCTTCATCAAGGTAATGCTACTAGAGCAGTTGGAGTCACAAAATTATGAACTGATTCAGCAAGCAGAAATAGCAGAAAATCGTTACCAGCATGCAGAACAAGCTTTACAAGTCACCCAGAGAGACCTGGCTAACTACAGGCAGTTAGTTGATGATTTTCAGAGACAGTCCTCTGCTTTAGAGAAAAAGTACATCAAAGCCAAAAAGCTCATTCACGAATTTCAGAAAAGGTACATAGCACCGTGTGTACACACACGTCTTCCTTTTTGTATTTAGTTGAATTTTACATGTAATTGGATTATTATGTAGTTATGTTTTCATTTCAGATAGCTGAAATCTGGGATTAAACATTTGTTGTTATTGAAGCCAAATGTGTATAGATCTCTGTTAGAAGTAACTTTGTTTTGCACTTTCATTATAATTCATGTATTTTAGTTTGATACCAAATGCTTGTGCAGCTTGAGACTTGTTGAACTAGTGTCTAACAGCAGAAGAAATGCAATACTATATTGGCTACAAAAATGTAAAACAAATTTCTAAATATTTTAGGTTTTTGTTTTATCAAAGATAATTTGGGAGCTTTCTTTATACTTTTGCCATTGGTTTAATCTATTATCATGAAATAAGCTATTTGAAACTGTTTGAAAATATTAGAAAATTTCTGTAAGTGTAAGCAGTGTCTATCTTGTTTATAAAAAAAATAATCACACTTTATAAGAATGATATTTATATGTGCTAATATCATAGCATGGCACTGCAAACACCAACCTTGGATCCATTGACAACAGGTTTAACCCCTATACTTTTGGTTGAAGGGGAATTCCCAAATATTATTTTCCAGTGCAATACTGCCAAGAATAGACTTATAGCTGAAGGAATTTGTCACAGCCAGTTGTAAGGAAGGATATTGATACAGAAAGATTATTAAAAGCTATAGAGTTTAAGGACAGCATTTTGAAGTAGGAAACCTTCAGTATTCTCCAAAGAAGTAGAACAGCTTGAACACTCAACATTCATGTGCAGTGGATAATCCATAAAACGTTTGCCAGAATGTGGGATTTAAGATTGAGCTCAGTGTTCCTTTCGGAAGCTAGTTACAAGGAAGATTACTGTTTCAGGCAATAGTGTATAATATCATCCATCAGATTGAAAATGGCCAGTGATGAAGAAAGTTGTTTCAACGGCAGTATAAGACCTGGATTATTGTTCTTATAAAGTGTGATTATCTCACAATGTAATAATTAAAACTACATGTAGTGAACACCAAGTCATATAATGTGTGTATTTTGTTAATCATTCAGTATTTATTTCAGTGTGCAGGAAGTAACATATTTCTAATCACGGTGAATGTAAATATAACACCATATGTTTTGTAATTTGGATGACATCTGTGAACTTGGTAGTGTGTATATTGGTATCTTTATTGAATACTGAAAGAGTTGACATGACTTCCAAACTTGCAAAGTATATATCTACTCAACTGTATATCTGTGGAGAAAAAGATATATCATAGAAAAATTAATGCTCATTGTAATAATTATTTAAAAAATATCAAAACATTTATTCTTTGAAATTGCTTTTTTTTTAAATGACAATATATCTTTATGCTAATATACTAAAGTTTTCAAAGACTTTTGCCTCTGAAGTTTATTAAATGATTTCAAAACAACAGTTTTATGATAACTATTCCATAAACTATCAAACTAAGTTAAATGAATGTACACAGTACAGATAATGCTTGGAATTAACAGTACAGATGTTAGTACCAGCACTAAGTTTGTTATACCTACAGACTAAACTGATGACATATAACAGTGTTGGTGTTAGTACCATCACTAAGTTTGTTATACTTACAGACTAAACTGATGATATATAACAGTGTTGGTGTTAGTACCATCACTAAGTTTGTTATACTTACAGACTAAACTGATGACATATAACAGTGTTGATGTTAGTACCATCACTAATCTGTAAGTGTAACAAACTTAGTGATGGTACTAACACCAACACTGTTATATGTCATCAGTTTAGTCTGTAAGTATAACAAACTTAGTGATGGTACCAATACCAACACTGTTATATGTCATCAGTTTAGTCTGTAAGTATAACAAACTTTGTGATGGGACTAACACCAACACTGTTATATGTCATCAGTTTAGTCTGTAAGTATAACCTAAACTGATGACATATAACAGTG